TTTGATTGCTTAGCTGTTTGTTGTTGTTTTTAAATTGACTTTTAGAGAGAGAGAAGAGAGGGAGAGAGAGAAACATCACTGATGAGAGAATCATGGGTCGGCCGCCTCCTGCGCGCCCCTGACTGGGATGGAGCTGGCGACCCGGCTGTGCCCTGATCGGGAATCGAACCGTTAACCCTTCGCTGCACAGGCGGCACCCCCCATTCGAGCCCCAGCGTCCTCCTGGGCAGCATCGTCGCGGGGGTGGGTCTCACCGTGTCCCTTCCTCATGCCTGTCCTCGCTCCTCCACGGACAGTCCCCTTCGTCCCTCACCTTCCAGAGCTGGGGTCCCGTCTCAGGGAGGTGGCCGTCTGCTGTCTCATGTCCCTCTGCCCCAGGCCACTGATCCCCGGCCCTCGTGTGCTGGCAGGAGACGAGGACGGAGGGCTGGGGCTCCGGCCGGCTATGCGTCTCCCCGCGGGGGGAGCCCACACCCACGGTGGCATCTGGTTCCGTGTTGTCTCCTCGTTTGCGCTCACCGAACCAGCTCTGCTCCTGAGGGGCAGCGGGTCCAGAGAGGAGAGTTGCCTCCTGAGTTAAACCAGTTCCCATAGTGTCTCCCCTGCCCCCCCGCCCCGCGCTGGCCCTTCCCGGCCTGGCCCCAGTTTAACGGTCCCGGGGGCTGCACCCCCCCCATCGGTCCCTCCATCCTGCTGTCCCCGCCGTGTGCTCCCACAGGGGTGCCCGGCTCAGGGAGGGGGCCGGGGTTCAGGGCGGGAGGAGCCTCCGCGCCTGCGTTGGGGGTGCACTTGGGGTTGCTTTTCTAACCGCCTGACCGTGTTTTGCTTCCGTTTTCTGTTGCTTCTGCCCTTTGCTTGCAAACCGCACAGGCAAGCCCGGTGAGTACGCGCTTCCCCGACGTGACGCCCCTGCACCCGGTGTCCGCTTTCCCGCGTTCGTTCCTTTCGCTTCTGCGTGTTGGCTGTGTCCCAACCCCCCTCCCCGGTTTCATTGCGTTTTGCCTGGAAAAAGCCAGAGGGTGTCCGGGGACGGGGGTTGGGGGCGGAGTCCCGGGTTGGGGGCTGGTTTTCTGATCTGAGGAGTGGGCGCTGCACTTGCGATTGTAGGACAAGAGGGGGGTCGTTCCCGCCGCCTGGGCCTCCCTGAGCCGGAGGTTCGGCTTTTACGAGGGCCGGGTGCGGGGAGGGAACCTGGAAATCTGGGCCCCGGTGTGATAAGCTCCCCACACACGGCATGGGTGCTGGACGGGGCGCCGGGACCCCGGCTTTGAGGCCACTGAACTCAGAGTGAGAAGCACGCGGCTGCTGGCGACTGGAAACGCCTCTCCCTGCGTCTCCGCGTCGGGAGCAGGTCGCTGGCGGCTCTGTTCTGGCTAGATGTTCGCTCCCCTCGTGGGTCCCGGCCTCGACATGGCGCTCT